TGGGTGACTTTGGGCCAATCACCGGGAGACTGTGAGTTCTAGTCCCGTCTTAGCCATGAAAGCTGACTGGGAGTCTTTGGGCCAGTCACTTTCCGCCCAACCCACTTCACTGGGTTGTTGTGAGAAAGAGGAAAGTTTGTTGGTTATTTATTTGTTAAACTAACCAAGGTGGGGATACAAATAATAGAACAGCATTCCCTTCTTTCCCAAATCAAAAATACCGTGGGCACTGCTCACACAAACGGAGCTGTGCACATGTATGCTCCTGACACACACACACACACACACACACACACACCTGTGCCAGGCTGAGTCGCCAGGCTGGAAAGTTTGGGGACCGCTGGGTTAGCAGAGTTCAAGGGAGTTGGACTAAGTTTGCTTGTGGCTATGTAAGGATTCTAGGCTGATTCCTCTTTTGACTCTGCTCTCAGGTTCTGCCATTTCTTCTCCAACAACTATCTTCCTTAGGGAGGGAGACAGAAGCCCACTCCAATTCTTTTCTGCAGTTCACACGCTTCCACTTGCTGGGATCGATTCATCAAAAGCAATAGCCAGAGCACTTAAGACTTATATACCACTTCGTTTTGCTTTCCACTTCTCGCCAGTCCTTGCTCTTCCAGTTCATAATCTGAAATCAGGTTTTTCTGGAAATCCTATATATCCAGTTTCAGAAAAGTCCTTTCCAAATGGAATGATCCTCTTATGTATTACAAAGGAAAGGAATTGAAAAATCGACTACAACAGCCAAGACACCCTGGATAGTTTAGTTTAGTTTTTAGTTTAATTTAGTTTAGTTTTTAATTTAGCTTTTAGTTTAGTTTAGTTTAATTTTTACTTTAGTGTTTAGTTTAGTTTTTAGTTTAGTTCATTGTCATTGCACCTCGTACCATGAAATCAAACACCATCTTCAGTGCACATCATGACTATGAAAATAAACACAAACACACATCCTTCACATTCTATACATTGAATGGAAAACCCCTGATATTGCATTAATATTGCCATACAGAGTAGAATTCGACAGAGTTGCTGCCCTGGGATAGAAGCTGTTTTTCAGCCTATTTGTCCTTGTTTTTATTATTGTCCTGTACCGTCTGCCAGATGGTAATAGTTAAAAAAAAAGGGGTGCCCAGGATGAGATGGGTCTTTGAGAATGTTTTGAACTTTCTTAAAGCAACGGGAGCTATAAAGCTCTTCCAAAGAGGGGAGAGGGCAACCCATGATCCTCTGGACAATGACGTTAACCCTCTGGAGCGCTGTCCTATCTGCCCCGGTGCAATTGACAAACCCTTCACAGGTGCAGTAAGTTAAGATACTCTCTATGGTGCAGCGGTAGAAGGTCACCAGCAGTTTTCCATCCAGTTTTTGTTTCCTGAGAAGCCTCAAGTAGTCTAATCTCTGCTGGGCCCTTTTGACCAGGGCTGCAATGTGAGCACCCCAGGTCAGGTCCTCTTTTAGGGTAACACCCAGAAACATAAAATTGGCCACTTGCTCCCCTCTGTCTCCATTGATAAGCCAGGGCTGGATGTCTGATCTGTTCCTTCTATAATCCACTATAAACTCCATGGCCTTATTGGTGTTGAGGACCAAGTTATTGTCTCCACACCATGAAAGCAACCGTTGGTCCATCTCATCTGGGGAGGCAGACTCATCCCCCCACCCTGGAGATGAGATCTCTCTTATGTGTTACAAAGAAAAGGAATTGAAAAATCAACAATAGCCAAGACACCTTGGATAGTTGTCCTCTGAAGCGTGTCTGTGACAGGGTGAATAATTTAATAAATAAAATAAATAGATTGAAGCCCCCGGGAATGGAAATAAGCTAATCTGCATCCTTTCCAATGAACTAAGCCAAACAATAGGAGGAAAGCAATCAAGAAACCAGGCCCAGAATTAGAAATATAGCTTACCAGTAGTTGGCCAGAATTGGCATTTCACAGGGAGAAATAATAAATTTGCTATAATTTATTATTAAAATAATAAATTACAGCTGAACACTTCGCAAGAACAACAAAGAACACAAATCTAATCCTACTCGAAGCTCAGCATTCTGTGAATACAACATGCTGAGCTGAATTTATTTCCATCCTGCAATTTATTATTGCTTATAAATAACTCAAGAATATACCCAACACAACAACCGCGAGGAGGAGGGGCTGAGGAGGAGGAACTGGCCCCAGAGTAACCCAATAGGCTTTCATGCCTTAAGGAGGGTCTACAACTCAATCTCCTAGTGATTGGCTCAAAATTATCCAGCTGTCTTTCATGTCTAAGGAGGGATTAGAACTCACAGGCTCCTGGTGATTGGCCCAGCTGACCTTAAAACCAATCTGCTGCTGATTGGCTCAAAATCATCAATCAGCTTTCATGGGGAAGGAGGGACTAGAAGAGTTGTATCTCCTGGTGATGGTCCAATCAGCTCATTACACAGATAAACTGGGAGTAAAAGTCTTACAGTACAAAGTCCTGGTGATTGGCCCAAAGTCACTCAAGAAACTCAGAGAAAAATCACCAAGATAAACAGAATACCCATTGGTTACACAAAATAGAGCTTAAAATAACTCTCCATCATTCAACTCGTTAAAAATGGGTGGGGTGGAGAGCAAACCACTCAGACTGCGTCCTCTCCCTCCAGCCTCCCCGTAAAGAAAAGGCGGAACGGTCATCAAAGACAGGCGGCAGCCACACGAAGTAGCACCGCCTGCCGGCTTCGCGCTCAGAAGAGAACACTACGCCTCCTCCTCGTGGTTTGCTCAGCCGATCACTTTCGAGTGCATTTCTCTAGTTGGATACTATAGAAATGATCCCTGAAAGTATAGTCTTAACGGATTCTAGCGCGCTTCCACGGCCTCACCCTCAGCCACCGCTCTTAAGGTCATAGCGACCGCCTCCCTAACCGCAAATATGGCTTCGCGGTCTTCGTTC